GGCAACCTATCAAATTAGGTGTGGTTCAAAGTTAAAAAAAAATAAAATGAGAAGCAAATTCTCAAAAGTCCAAAACGAGGTCATTCACCTCAAAATTTTCAAATCCCAAATTCAAATAAAAAAAAATCTCAAAACCTAAATTCAAAAAAGATCCTTTTAGTTCCCCATAAGGTCATATACTGAGGAATTATCTAAATATAACTTTCAAATCCAAATTCTAAAGCAAAATTCTAAATCAAATTTTAAACCATCTTTGAACTCTTCCTATGGTCATATATCAGGAAATTCTCCAAAATCCAAATTCAAATTCAAGAATTACGATTGACTTGATTCCCTATCGGATACGTAGGCAACCTAAAATTTAAGAGCAGTTGTAAGACCAAATTCAATCCTAAAAATCCTCATAAAAGACAGTCAAAACTAAATCAAATTTCAAAGTGCATAAATTCCTCATAAGGTCATACACCAAGGAATAATCCAAATTCAAATTCGAACTACAAGTGGCTTAATCCCATAATGAGGTATGTAGGCAACTCGGCTAAATTCATCGAGTTCAACCGCAATTTTAAATTAACCCAAATTTCTCAAATTCATAGAAAATAGAATTTACGGATTTAATTGGAATAAAAAAATCTTCCCTTGTACTAAGGGATTGTAATTAAGAGGTTATTCTTATAATCTTGAATGAGCCGAACTAAAAATAGTAAACTCCTATATTAATGAAATCCTAGTATAGGTGAAATTATGTTGTGTGTGAAATATTATTTTAATATCAATAAATATTTTTACCCAACAACAAGGAGGGGCAATAAATTTTGATCAAGTGATTGTTGTTGGAATCAAACTACTGCACAAAAACAGTATTATATATATATATATATTTTTTTTTTTTTTATTTCTGTCAAAAAAAATATATTATTCACATTATTCCAAAACTGTAACTCCTTTTTCCCTTCAAAGAAAAAACTGTAACTTCTTTATCATTTCACTGAACTACCAACAACGGTATGGGAAGAGGGAGAACAAAACAAAAGCTTCATCCCTCTGTCAAGGGTCAAAAGTTCAGGCCTCGCCCTTCACCAGAACCTCATGGAAAGACGTAAAGTCCATATAGTTGTAACAAGATCCTATGTATTGCTCAACTTTGACCTTCACGGGTTTGTAACCTTTAGAAAAGGTGGGTACAAAAAATCCAATTTGAAAACACCCGTTTCCCCAATCTTGATCCCGAGCTCTTCCTCACTTGAAAATCTCAAAAAAGCTTGCTGTATGCAAATGATCCTGCAAAGGAAAAGGAATTAAAGACCAATTTTTCAAGATATATATTTCTTAAAAACATATTCTAGTAAAGACTATTGTTCCCACTACTTATTGGCGTCAATGAGACATGCCTTTTGCCATTTTATGAGTCCTATAAAAGTAGCCTTTGTTTTGAACATTAGATTTGAAGTTAATTATAACCAGCTCATCATAAAATGCTGGGAACCGTTATCTTTTCCAACTACGAGCTAATAAGAAGATGGACATTACTAAAAGAAACTGAAAATGTCCTCAATATGACAAAAACATTGCTCAGGAGGTTAGTATAGTTGCAAATAAAGTTTTTTAGCGACAGCAAGAAAGTTGAAAATCTTACAGTAAAAAATCTACCATCTCCAGCTCCTTTTGGGCCTTATTCTCTTGAAAGCCATAAAAGTAACTGCAGCGGATAGGGAATACCTGCTCAGATTGAAGCTAATATCAGAGAAAGCTACCATTGGCATTGTAATACTTTCCGATGAAAGTTTGATTCATGTTATTTCTATCTTAGTTTTGAATAAAATGTTTAGCTTACGTACACACACACACATCAGTTATCACATTTTTTGTTTTCCCCTCAGTAGGAAACAAAAATCAGTATTCATGTTCTGAGTTTTAGAGACTTGAGCAGAACGGATAATTCATAATTTAGTTATACGCACCAACCAATTTCAAAGTTCAAACTGACCAACTCTTTAGTGAGGCAAGGTTTACACTCAAAAAAGTTTGACAATAAGCTAAAGAAACAAGGCTGAATTTCACATCTGTAAACATTTTATAGTAGCACAATAAATGAGACTAGTAGGTTCTGCTTGATCCAGAATCTATCCTCAATGAAATAATGAGCCATCACCCATGGTATTCATTGACAAAAAGGTATTAATTTGAATTGAATAAGAGCTAATCTCCAATTCCATTTCAGCCCATTTTGGGAAGATGTGTGGGAGGGTGGGCTTCTTTCTCTAACAGATTTCCTAGCCTTTATAGAATTTCGTCCCTCAAAAATGCTTTGATTTCTGCATTCTATTCTTTCGATTGTGAGAACAATGTTTCTTGGAATTGTCATTTTAGCAGGGATCCGAGTGAGAGAGAAATGGGTGAGGTTTTGGATTTGTTGGGCTGTTTGGAAGGGGTTAGTCTGTCGGTGAATCTTTATGATAGATGGGTTTGGGATCTCGAGGGTCAAGGGTTCTTTTCCTGTAAATCCTTTTTCAATTTCTTGATTGATGATCAAACCCTTCCTGTTTTCAAATTCTCCCATTTCATCTGGAAAGCCTTGGTTCCTAGTAAAGTTCAGGTGTTTAATTGGTTGCTTGTTTCTAGTAAACTTAACACTCAATTTGTTACAAAAAAAGAAACCTTTCTTATCTCTGTCTCTAGGGTGGTGCGTCCTTTGCAAAACAGATGGCGAAACTTTAGACCACTGATGGAAACCTCTAGGATTAACGAAGGACGAATTACACACACAGGTGATTTTTCGAGAGAATCACCGTCTCTCCTCACAACTCTATACAATCCAAAAGTCCCTAACCTCTAGGAGCCCCTACTTATTTATAGACTTTGCTAACAAACTAACAAATCCAACAACAACTAATTTCTGTTATTACAAGAGAAGCTTCCTCAGCAAGATTGCTGAAAGCTTTCTCCACAAGACTCCCAAATGGCCAACTCCACGCCAGCCTCACTTATTCAAATCCACGTCAGCATCACTTATTTCTAACATTTCTTCCTCCGATAAACCAGCAATTCCCGGTTCCCATCATCACCCTCCCCATGCGCAAGAACCTTGTCCTCAAGGTTCAAGTCAGGAAACTGGGCAGATAACAACTCCCACGACTCCCAGGTGCTGTCACATTCAGGGAGATCCTTCCATTGGACCAGAACCTCAAGAGAGCCATCCAACAGCGTCCGAGATTGAAGCAATGCTGCGGGTTCAACTGCCAACTCCATGTCCTCTGTCAAAGCAGCCGGAAACTGCTGCACAGGAGTGGAAGGCTGCAACACTTTCCGCAGTTGGGACACATGGAAGACATCATGAATGCGCGCAAAAGAAGGAAGCTGTAGACGGTATGCAACCTCACCAACCCGCTCCACCACCAAAAATGGCCCATAGAAGCGAGGACTCAACTTTTCATTGCGCCGACGGGCCAGCGACCGCAGATGATAGGGCTGGAGCTTCAGGAAAACCCAATCGCCGACCCCAAATTGGACATCCCGGCGCTTCTTGTCCGCATACAACTTCATCCGCTGCGGGGCAATAGTCAAGCGCTCCTTCAACTCCCGAAGTATGTCATTTCGGTCACGCAACTGATGATTAATAGCTTCCACCACCGAGCTACCGTCCTCCCAACGGAATAGAATAGGAGCCTCACAACCATACAAAGCGCGAAAGGGTGTCATCCGAACTGTGGAAGGTAGTGTTGAACCAAAACTCAACCGATCCCAACCAATTAGGCCACTGACGTGGTTTGTTACCACAAAAACACCTCAAATAATCCTCCAAACTCCGGTTAACCACCTCCGTCTGTCCATCAGTTTGCGGATGGTAAGCAGAGCTCATACGAAGCTCGGTACCAGCTAGCCGAAACAGTTCCTTCCAAAAGTGACTGATGAACACTCGATCCCCATCAGAAACGATAGAGCGCGGAAACCATGCAAACGGACCACTCCCTGCACAAAAACGGCCGCAACTTCCCGAGCTATAAAAGGATGGGACAGTGCGAAAAAATGCACATATTTGGTGAGGCGATCCACTACCACCATAATCATATCACGCCCCAAGGCCATAGGCAAAACCCCAATAAAGTCTAAGGATACATCATCCCAAACTTGCTCCGGAATTAGCAAGGGTTGTAGCAATCCGGCCGGTTTCAGGGCATCATACTTCACCCGCTAGCAAATGTCGCATTCCGCGACCAAGCGCTGAATATCACGCTTCATCCCCTCCCAAAATAGGATGGCCGCCAAATGCTTATAAGTACGAAAGAATCCGGAATGTCCTCCCACAGCCGAGGAATGAAATTCACGGAAAAATTTTGGAACTAAAGGAGATTGTTGTGGTAACACCAACCTATTTTTGTAATAGAGGCGGCCACCTTTGAGCTGATAACCGGCTTTGAATTGAGGATCTAACAAAAGCCCTTTAACAATCAACCGCAACTTATCATCCTTCTGCACCGCCTCCTCAATAGCTTCCAACTCCCGTGTGTGCACAACTGAAAACACTTGCAGGTGGGGTTCCTTGTGTTTTCTGGAGAGGGCATCAGCCACCCGGTTATCCTTACCCGGTTTATACTGAATTTCAAAGTCCAAACCAATGAGTTTACAAATCCACCGTTGCTGAGCCTCATTCATGACTTGCTGTTCAAGAAGGAACCGCAAGCTACGTTGATCTGTCCGCACTATAAAATGCCTTCCCAAAAGATAATGACGCCATTTTTTTTGTGGCCAAAACAACCGCCATAAGCTCGCACTCATACACAGATTTGGAACGACCACGATCGGAAAGTGATTGGCTGATAAAAGCAATAGGCCGATTGTCCTGCATCAAAACAACCCCCAATCCGCGTCCAGAAGCATCAGTCTCAATGATAAAAGTTTTGCTGAAGTCCGGTAAGGCAAGCACCGGAATAGTGACCATCCGATGTTTTAACTCTTCGAAAGCACCTTGGGCTTCCGAAGTCCACAAAAACGCATCTTTTTTAAGGAGGCGTGTTAAAGGTTCAGCCACCTTCCCATAATCCCTCACAAAACGCCTGTAATAGCCGGTGAGACCTAAGAATCCCCGTAGATCCCGAATGGTCTTGGGCACGAGCCAATCAACCATGGCAGCAATTTTTTTCCGGATCGGCTTTTAAACCCATCCGGATCGGCTTGAACACCAGTATCCGTGATAATATGGCCTAAATATTCCACTCGTGGCTACCCAAAAACACACTTTTTCTTGTTGGCCACCAATTGGTGTTGCCTTAGCAATTCAAAAACACATCTCAGGTGCTGCATATGGGAAAACCCAGTCCTTACTATAGACAAGGATATCATCGAAGAAACCAAAACAAACTGCCGTAAGTGTGATCGAAAAACCTAGTTCATTAAGGATTGAAAGGTTGCCGGAGAGTTTGTTAAGCCAAAAGGCATAACCAAGAACTCGTAATGACCGGCGTGAGTACGAAAGGCTGTTTTCGGTGTATCCTCCTCACGCACTCTGATTTGATGGTAGCAACGCCACTCGCCAGATTTCTTCTTGACCAGCAATACCGGACTCGAAAACGGACTATTACTATGCTTAATGATCCCTCCTGGCATCATTTCTTTCACAATTCGTTCAATCTCATTCTTTTGTGAATGGGGAAAACGGTATGGCCTTAAATTGGGAGGATCCATCCCCTCCTTAAGTGGAATCGCATGATCATGAAATCGTGAAGGAGGAAGGCTTGCTGGAGGTTCAAACACCGAGTGAAATTCAGTGAGTAACCCCTCCAAGGCAGCATCTTCTGCAATTCCAACTGATTGGTCTAACAATGTCACTTGCCCAAATTCCACCAAAAACCCCTGTCCCTCTTCTTGAATAGCTTTAAGTATTGCTTTGAGAGACACTAAAGTTTTGGACAAAGAAGGGTCATCCTGAAGCAACACTCGTTTGCCCTGCCAATCGAACTGCATAGTCAATTTCTTCCAATTGGCACTTACTTCTCCTAACATGCCCAGCCAAGTAATCCCTAAAATCACATCGGCACTACCAAGTTCAATCGGAAAGAAATCTTGTATTATATGCAACCCCTGTAAACTCACCTCTACCTGCCGGCAAACCCCCTGCCCAGTCACTTTGTATCCATTTCCCACCATAATTCCAAAACTAGGTGTACCATCTATTGGAAGTTTTAATTCCTCAACCATTCCCCGAGAAATGAAATTATGAGAAGCTCCTTAATCAATTAAAATTACCACTTCTTTGTTCAAGATCATACCTGTCACCTTCATGGTATTAATGGATGGAATTCCGACAATTGAATTCATGGAGAGCTCCAAGGATCCTTCTTCTTGCGTCCGCGGTGTCCTGGTTTCCTCGACAGCCACGACTTCTTCCTCCTCATCCTCTGCCGCAATAAGAACTTGGAGTTGGGGATTTTGACAGACATGATCGACTCGCCACTTTTCTTCACATCGGAAACATAAACCACGTTCTCGCCTGCGTTGCATTTTAGCATCAAAAATCCTCTTCCTGAAATTCTCATTCCTTCTAGCAGCTGAGATGGAACATGAGCAGATTCCTTGTTGACAAACGTGTTGGATTGAAGAGAGCTGCTGCGTGTCACCGTTGCACTACCTCCTTCAGTCGGTTTGGGTGGTATCCAGCTAGAACCACTTACCAGAGGTCCTCCCCCCGTCACCGACCCCGTAAAGCCACCATAATCTCTTGAAAGCCCAATTCCTTCCTTACTCGAGTTGGGCCTAAAGACCTGTTTCATGTGAGCCCGTTCCAGGGCCCAATTCTTTTCCTCAACCTTCTGGGCCAAGTCCATCAGTTGGACAAGGGAGGCAAGCTTCACCATACGAACCTCTGCCTTGATTTCTTCAGCCAGACCATTCGAGAAGGCTCCCATCAGAAACTCCTCGTCGGCTTCTCTCAAAGGAGAAGAGAGCAGCTCGAATTTCTCACGGAATTCAGCCACCGATGAGTCCTGTCGTAAAGCAATTAAAGCTTCGTAATGATTGCCAGTTTGCAAAGACCTAAATCGCTGAATTAAAGATTCCTTGAATCTCAGCCACGAGATGTGACCTGATCTGGATTCCAACCACTGGAACCAGTTCAACGCCTTCCCTTCGAGGCCAATCACCGCCGCCGCCACTCGTTCCACCTCCTCGACGCCTTGGACCTAGAAATATCGCTCAAGCCGCGGATCATCGGCGAAACCTCGATTCTCCGCCGATCGGTGCTGAACCATGACCGGGATGAAACGCCACCGCCATCGCGCCTCCGCCTTCTCCATCGTTCGAAGCAGAAGCCCTAGCCTGCTCTGCCGATGGATTCGCGCCGTTCCCCGGCCTCATCCAATCGGTAAGTTCCTTCATGTATTCCTTCACAGCTCCCATGTCCATTGAAAGTTGTCCAGCCACTCCTTTAAGTTCTCCGATGTCTTTCTCCACCACTTCCACTCTGCCGTCCATTTTTTCGGCCCTTGAAGCAACCATTCCCAGACGGAACAGCTCTGATACCAATTTGATGGAAACCTCTAGGATTAACGAAGGACGAATTACACAGGTGATTTTTCGAGAGAATCACCGTCTCTCCTCACAACTCTATACAATCCAAAAGTCCCTAACCTCTAGGAGCCCCTGTTTATTTATAGACTTTGCTAACAAACTAACAAATCTAACAACAACTAATTTCTGTTATTACAAGAGAAGCTTCCTCAGCAAGATTGCTGAAAGCTTTCTCCACAAACTCCCAAATGGCCAACTCCACGCCAGCCTCACTTATTCAAATCCACGTCAGCATCAGCATCACTTATTTCTAACGTTTCTTCCTCCTACTATAAACCAGCAATTCCCAGTTCCCATTAACCACTTACGCTGTCCCTTTTCTCTGCGCATTCTTTATCGAATCCTGGCCGATTTTCGTTTTCCTTGGGTGATCCCAAACTTTGCTTCGGACATCCTTAATGGTGATTTTTTTTGGTTGGTAGAAGCAAGAGTAGTAAGCAGCTTTGGAATGTGGTTACTCTTACTGCTACTTGGGCCCTTTGGCTAGGGAGGAACAACCGGATCTTTGAAGACACAGAGGGAGATATAATTGAAGTGTGGGATAAAATTAGATTTTGGGTGGCTTTATGGCTTTCTCAAGTTTCAGGCTGTAGTGCTTTTTCTTTTTCAGATTAGTTAAGAAGGTGGGATCTAGTCCTACATTAATCTTGTGCTTTTAGTTTTTCAGATTCGTTTTTTCATTTGTTTTGGTGGACTCCTTGTCCCCTGTTGCACCTTTTTCCTCTTATTAATAAATTTTTCTCGTTTCTTATTAAAAAAAAAAAAAAAAATCCATTTTGACCCATAGATGAACTAACAAAAAAAAAAAAAAAAAAAAAAAAAAAGGGGGGGAGAGAAAAAAGGGAAAAAAACACAACAAAAAAAAAAAAAAAAAAAAAAAAAAAAAAAGAGGGAGAGAGATAAACAGGTATCAAACACACACAACAATGACTTGATATACCATAAGAATAATCATTCAAGTCCCTCATAAGATGACAGCATAACAGCATGCAAATTCTTAAGCAAGGATACCAAAAGAAAAACTTGCATACCAGGTCAACGTATAATTTAAATGGTCCTGGGGCATGACCGAACTTCGAATCAAGGTATTCACATCCTTTGGTAAAGGATAAGGGTTACTTGGATTGACATTTTCATTGATGTCTTCAATATATATAGTAGCCTCAGGGAGTCCACAAGTACGAGCAATTGCAGGAATATCAACATAGAACCACTGGTTGGAGCTTGGTTCATTTGGGGGAACAAATATGCTTGGCTTCTCACTCCCACGAACGATCCCGATAACTTCAACAGGCGAAACGACTTGGACATGATCCTGTAAGATCTCTGAGGTTAATATGGAATCTTAAACATTGGTTTATCAGTAATTGCATAATTAATAAAAAGAAACTACCTCAATTGTTTTGGGCTTCTTTGTCCAAAACTTCCACCAGGAGCTTCTTTCGCTCTCTTCGACAATGTGGGTTTCTTGCTTCGAAGATTGTTCTGCATCACGTGCAACTTCTAAAGCTTTATCTTTCCAAGTGCGGGGGACCCATCCTCTATTTACCAGAATTGGTGACTGCACGCTGGAACAAGGAAATAAATACATTTTCAGCTGAAAGAAGTATGCTATAAAAGTCTGAAATTATAGGCCAAATGTGTGAAAGAAGTTACAGTTAAAACACAAAATGTGATTGGTGCAAGAAACAGTCATAGATAGGGCGATTTTGAAATTCTCTCTCTAGTTTAAAAGCCTAAATCTTTTGATTGTGAGAAAATTTGTTCATCAGAATAAAACTACACTCACAGATAGATCTAACCAAGCAAACGTGATATCTCAAATTGCGTTCAGAGAAGGTAAGTCTTTAGAAGTTTTCTCAGAAAGAGAAACAGGAAAATAAAAGCTTTTGAAACCCACAATAACTGTTAGTAATAGTAGTTGATCCCAAACCGAAACGCTAAACCTACAGTTGAAAGAGATATACACATGTATATTCTATTTTTGACTCAGATATATGACCAGAACGAGAAAAACAAAAAAAAAAAGTTTAAGGATGCAACTCATGAGATAATTTGGAAATATACAAAGTTTATTAACAACGTACAAGCATAACCTACAAGCTGCCTACCAAGCACTTAAAGACCAAATGCAACCTAATGTGTTTTGAGGGGTATTGCAACAAGCAAGTGTACAAGATCAACTTGAGTCTTGACCACCCCAAAAAACAGGGATGCGTACGATTTCATTGGACATTATTGCATGACTGCCATAATGTATCATTAAAGGCAACCAAACACTGAGATGCATATACCTATCTTGGTCGTTGGGGATAGGCAGAAGGGGTGTAATGACATAGTAGCCATTCTCCGTCACTCCTGAAATGCTTCTTGAACGAGGACCCACGAAGATTGATTTATTCTCATCAAGAACTCCCCTGCATATGACCTTTCTAAATTCCAAAGAGTCCAATTCTTCATTCGGTTCTAACAAAGTGTTACAGTTTAGAGGTTCCATTCCCAATCTCTTCTGCCTATATTCTAGCATTTTCACCTGCAACAAAAATTACTTGTTAGCATATGGCATATGCCATTGATTGATAATGGAATGCTGAAGTCTTGATTAGCAACATGATTACTTTGGTTTGATTCTCAAGAATGGTAACCCATAAAAGAAAACAGTTGAAAGTTAAGGTCATTTTGATTGTGATGGCCCCAAGTGTTTTTTTGTTCTTGATTTCTCCTCACTTTCTCATGATATGGTCTAATTTTCAAATGAAATGATATAGATGAATCATAATTTATACAGAGCAACTAATTTTCCTTGCCTATATAATAATGAGATTTCATAGACATGATATGAATATGAATTTTTCCTGAAAAGAAAAAAGGTAAAAACAGAGAGTTATTGCATCTATACAGAAAAACGACATGCAATATCATAGTTTTAAAAGTAAAAGAAAGTGAAGGCACACAAACAGATAGTTTAACAAGTTCAACATGCTGAAAATTAAAAATTACAGAATTCTTGACTCAAGGGTATAAAAGAAAGAGACTAAATCAGCAAGTCTAAAGTAGTAAACTTGAAATGCATTCGATTTCTCTTACTATAGGTTTACATTTCCCACAAATCATAGTTCCGTTTTTAACGTTGAAATATGCAGATAGCATTTTGTTGACAACAAAACTCTATCTTTTCATCTTAAGTACTAAGTTGTGTGTTTCGAATAAAATCGATGGTTGTTGCATCCAAATTCATTTCTAACACCTCTCACTCTCACCCGGTTTTCTTATCTTTCTCTTTCTTTTTTTTCTTTCACAGGTTATATAATGTTTCCGACACTGGGAAGCCTATTGTGGGATTCACAGATTAGGCCAAGAACCATAAGAGACGGTAGATTTAAGCCCTCAGAGAAACATGTCATCCAACTCCTCACATCCATCTAGCTGATCATTTCCCAACAATTTGTCTACAAGAATGATACTTCACACTAAAATCAAGTAACTACACATTAAATTAAAGTTTTCTTCCAAAACGGTTGTTTTTTTAGTAGTAAAAACAAGTGACTACCAAACAATAATCTAAGGCCCAAACGAATCCCATAAATACAATACAGATATGCACATAAAATACAGGAATGAACAGTTTTTACATACGTGAAGCTGTGAACTAATGCTGAATTACTGATAAAAGTAAAACAAGTAAAAATTTTGACCCAAAAAAAAAAAAAACCGTGAAAAGAGAACAAAAAATACGAGAAAAATACAACACCTTCTCTTGTTTTCTAAAAATCTGCCAAGTGCCCAGACCAAATGTGATAGCTCCGGGAAGAAACAGCAACCATTTTGACAATCTTGACCTATTTTCTTTCTCTGATTCAGATTATCCACGAACCCAGAAAGAAAAATAAATATATAAATAAATAAACAAAAGAAACAAAATTTAGTAACACCGAAACTGAACTGACCGGGAGATTGGAAAGAGGACGTTGAGTGAGATTCAGCTGCGGAGGAAGTGTAGAAGACTGAGGATGGAGAATATAGGGAGCGACCATTGCGGCTGAGCTTGATTATGGCTTTGGTAATGGCGGTTGAAGTTGTCATTTTGATGCATCTGGCGCAGTGGGGGCGCGACAGAGATCTGGAAGAGGGCTAGGACGAGCGTAACGACAAGCTCCGTGACGGTGCCGGTGGCTTGCTTGGGGGCGACGAGGGCTGTGGTGTGGCGCCCAGAAGTGAGATGAAGATGGAAGAAAAAGAGACGACAGGAATGGAATAGACTTTGAAGGGGCGGCAATATAAGGAAAGAGGGAGAAGAAAGAAAAGATGGTTCCTTATGAAATGGTTTCAAAGGAGTTCAAATCAGATTACATTGTACGTTTTAGTTGGTAGAGTTGAATTATAATTTATAATTTATTATAATATTTTTTTTTATAAAAAATATACATAAATTAAAAATAATTTTAAATTATAATTTTGAATTAATAAATTAAACATTTAATAAAATAGTTTAAACTTTAAATCTGTTTACGAAAAAAAGGGTGAAAAGTGATTTTGTGCTTTCTTAAGGTTTTTTATTTTTATTTTTTTATTATAATAAAGGTGTTAAGTGTATTTTTGGCATCTTATATTTTTTGGGTCCTTAATTACTATTGTGGCCATCGTAAATAAAATGTTGCCATTTCAATTTTTGTCTTTTTGTATTCGTAAATAATCCTATTTAATTGTGTACGGTCCGAACCAAACAGTCATACCAAATCAAGAAGGGGAGGCAATAAAAGGAAAGAGGGAGAAGAAAGAAAAAAATGGCTCTTTAGAAAGTGGGTTAAAATAAGTGGTTTAAAAGCCCATTTAGTTTGTTGATTCTAATTTTTAATTCGAGTTGAGATGTGATTTTATGTAAGAACTTTTTACTGTAGTAAAAAGCTAGATATTATTATTTTTTAGAACTTTTTACTATAACAAAACTCGAATCCTAAACTCGAATCGTGAAATGAACGGGGCCTAAATCTTAAGCTCTACTAATGACGGCTGACCTCTTCCACTGCATAGTAGATATTAGGCCGAGCACACATCATGGTATGCGTTAGGCTCCAGATTGCAAATGCATATGGTATTGTCTCATATCCTCTTTCTCCTACGGGATTGGGTTCATATGCCCCCTTTTTCCTATCCACTTATGTGTTTCCCTAATAATAACGTCATGACTTTTTAATTAACGTGATAGGAATCTTTAATCGACGTGACATTTTAATTGACGTGTCACAATATTACTGGAGGGACACAAAAAGGGACAGCAATAAGGGGACACAGGAGTTGGTTCCTTCTCCTATGGAGTCTTAGGACATTACTATTTAAAAAGATGAATATTGTGCCTTGAGGGCAAATTCCCATTATTGGAGTTCTGTAGCATGAATCTGACAAACATCTTGTCAATGTAAGATACATGAGACAATGTCAACACCTTTTTCTTATGATTTTGAATAATCTTAATCCCAAAAACATAACCTACCTCTCGCAAATCTTTTATTTGAAATTGCTAACCACTTCTTTACGTCGCTCATGGATTCCACATCATTTCCAATGATGAGTTGAATATTATTCATGTAAAGAACTAATGCTGGAACTTCGGGCGGTGGGCCTGCCTGATACCTGAATTTTTTCGAGTTTGGCGGGCAAAACCCTATGTCCGCCCGTCCAGCCTACTTAAACAAGCTAGGGCTCAGGCAGCCCGAAGAAGAGAATTTGAACCAAGCCTGCCGTCCGTTGATACCCCATGCCCGAATGCCCGCCCGAAAGCTTAAATCTGTTAGGAATGGTGTCCTAGAAGCATGAGATGTAATAGAATATTTATTATTTATTTAATAAAAGAGTTTATTCATCATTTTATGTGTATATATTTGTGAATATTTTATGAATATCAAACGAAAATTCTGTAATTATTGATGTGACCTTAAACATTGTATATAAGCGTTATATGCGAGAGGATAATGTTTAAGGATAATAATCAAAAGCGATGTTCGTAATAAATTTAATTGAAGTTCAGAATCTTTAATTAAAACATTACTAATATATGTCATTCACATTTAGAATGTAATGGTGTTATCCGCACTGTTAATATGACAAGATATTGAATGAGTGTATTATGCATAATGAGATTATGTGGAACAAGGACACAGACAAAATATGGATTTCTAATAATTTTCGTTAAGTATAGAAATTCTAATTTAGTCTATCGATTGTCATATATAGAATGATCTTAATCCTGAGTTCTTAACAGACTCCTATTTATGGATTTGTGTCTTTTGATTTACTCGGTACGGATTCCAAGACTCTAAATCTTATTCCTTATATTTTAGAGACATGATGAAATATGTAGCCGGGAATGTTATTATACGAGATGGAATCCATTCCTTCTTGAGAAAGAATCAGATAAATAATTCTCTTGAGTGTTGATTCGGTACTTGGATTAGTAAGAGCGCTATGGTTCGTGAATGTGTTTTATGAATCACTATCCATTAGAGAATCAATGGTACTCAAGGATGAAGATATAATTAGAGAGGTTAACAGATTCTACCTAGCTCTAATTATGAATTATTTATGGAGGATTGATCTATATGCAATGACTATATCAAATGGACACTTCACAATTTAGAAGTAATTTATGTCTATAATTTCGAGAGTGCAATTCCAAGTTTATAGTGGAGTAACTATTGGAATGAATAGAATTAATTAATTAATTATTAATTTTACTCGAGCTCGGGATTTTGGGTCCATTAGTCCCCGCGTCATCTTAGTAATTCTACAAGACACAAATGGCAAAATGAGAATTTTAGAATTACGGAATTCTAAAATTAAACACTCGAGAATAATTAATTGAGAATTATTTATAAATTAAATAATGTGATTATTTAAATTTGAATTTAAATTTTGGATCACTTATGTGAAGGTGTTCACATAGTGTGAACACAAGACACAGTGTGAACACATCTAGATATATCTATTTAAACTTATTGGATAAGTTGTTCAATTTAGAATTCAAATTAATTTATGTTTGACTTAAATTGAAATTTAAATTAGAGTCAAAATTGGACTGCAGGATAAAGGATGATTTTCTCTACATTCCCTATCTGTATTTGGCACCTACCACAAGGATAGGATCACCTAATGTTGGCCGGCCATATTGAGGATAAGGAGTGGGAGATTTTTGTTCCAAATTCAAATTGGAGATAATTAACAAATTTTATCTTGGAGATAAAGATTGGATTCCTTCTAGGAGTTTGACTTCTACTCTATAAATAAGAGAATGATAGAAAATTATGAGATACAATTTTTTACCCTATTTTTGAGTGGTGACCGAATTCTCTAATATAGTGAGAGGAAAAATTTTTCAGCAAAAGTTTCACATCGTGCAAGCGTTGATGTTTGTGAAAATTCGAGTGTTTATTCTAACCCGTTTTATCTCAGGTGTGCCCACACACACGTCTTCGTGGATTCTAGGAATTGACGTGGAAGACATTGGTTTTCTAAACACAAAACTTCAGAGCAAGAATTGTTTGTGGTCAAAGAACTCAAGTTATCATCCTAATCGGCCGCAATGTATAATTCCTAATTGAGTTCTTATTAAATAAATTAATGTGTTTAATTTATTCGTGCATAAAGTAATATAATCTATAGAGTGTCTCAAATGTTTTATGAAAATTTTTGTAATACATGATCCACTACCCTCACACTTCCGCATCCGAATTCGATTTGGAAACCAACAGAATCAACGGCTAATTTTTTTACCGTTGCTGCCCGACCTGACCGCGGCTCGAAAGCCGACTTCAACGGCTTGATTTTGTGTCGTTGCTCAAAAAGCCCGACCGCCGCCCAAAGCCCGACCAGCCGTGACAAACAATAGCCATTGGAATCAAAATTTTGGAGAAAAAATTGATTCTTTTAACCCAAAAATTTCCATATAAATACCTCATCCCCCAAACATTTTTTTCACAACATTTCTCACACTCTCTGTCAATCTCTCTCAATCTATCTCACTTGCTCTCAAATCTCTCGTAATTTTTTCACAAGCTCACACAAAATCCTAAAGCTCTCTCTCTCAAAGTGCTATCATCTCAAGTCTTAAAGCTCTCAAAGCTTTTTTTAACTTCAAGCTCTCTCAAGCTCATTGTTTATTTTTTGTGTTTTTTTTTTTTTTTGTTAAATACTTTAATTTAATTTTTATAATGGAATCCTTTGGTTATGGTGATAATCCCGTTGATCCCCAAATTTCAATTCCTACTAATATTTTTACTACGCTGGAATCGCAAACACAAGCACTCGAGGAACAATGTCTAATTCTAAATCCCGGCCGTGGTGGATCTAGTAGAGGTCGTGGAGAGGCAAGTGCTACTGCAAGTGTTGCAACCTCCAAGAGGAAATGCAAGCGCACCTCCATAGTTTGGGAGCACTTCGAGGTGCTTGAGGAGGTCGACAAGGATGGTAACACTAAACACATAGCTCAATGTAAATATTGTTGTTCTAATTTACAAGGTGACACTATTCATGGCACAAAACACTTGAGAAGACACTCTGAAAAGTGTTTTTAAAAGCGGGGCCAAACCGGCAGATCTGAACTTCGCCAAACACAATTATCATTTGATCGCGCCACCGGTGGTCTAACTACTTAGAAATACGATCCGTAAATCGATCATATAAAAGTTGCACGAGTGATAGCAACATTAGATCAGTCACTTAGTTTTGTCGAGCATCTTAACTAGTTATGTTATATTAAATTATACACAATCTTAATGTACAGTTTTTTTTTTCAAAAACTACTATTATGAAAGATTTGTTAAAACTATTTAAACAAGAAAAAAAAAGTATTAATCAACCTTTTGCGCTCTACTAGCGGTTGCGTTGCATTAACGGCTGATATTTGATATGCCGTTGCCAACAAAGATTATTTATCTGTAACCGAACATTATTTCAAAGGTTTCGATTTAGATAAGAAAATATTAAGTTTTAAATGTGTTCTAGGATAACATAGCGCCGATCTAATATATAATATAATTTTAAATGTCGTTGATCAATGTAGATGGATAGAGTGATTGCTATAACATTAGATAATGCTAGTGCGAATACTAAAGCAATTGAATATTTTAAAAATGATTTAAGTTTATTCGGTAATGGTACTATATTTCACCAATGTTGTGCATGTCATGTAATTAATTTAGTAGTAAAATCTAGTTTAAAATCATTGGCTACTCACATTAAAAGAATTAGAGATAGTATTGCATGGATTCAAGGTAGTAACCAAAGAGAACAAGATTGGTTTAGGTTCTAACA